AACTCTCAAGTTGTACGGGTTTGCTAAGCACCGTTAAGCTTAACGAGATAGTAGTGTAGCTCGAGAGAGTCTCTCGGGAGGCTGGATTAGCCACAAGTTGTGGTGAACCAGGGTAAATTCGGTGTGCCTCTTACTCTTCTCTTTACTTCTCGTTTATTTATTATTTATTCCTGCGATTTCTTGATCAAACGCTATTCACCCCCCCTCTAGCGTTGGTCTATTATTCTAACAAAATGTTGATCATTCGCTATATTGTTGTTGCCTTAACTGACTACAGTTAAGTGTCCGAAGTCATTTGCCTTAAACTAATGATAGTTTAAGTGTCTGATTGCCTTAACTGACTACAGTTAAGTGTCCGAAATCAATTGCCTTAAACTAATGATAGTTTAAGTGTCTGATTAATAATTGCCTTTTAAGAATCTGGTTATAGAAATTATGATCTGGCCTTAGACTAAGAATAGCTAAGAGCATTATTATGATCTGGCCTTAGACTAAGAATAGCTAAGAGCGTTGTTATGATCTAGCCTTAGATTAAGAATAATTTAAGGGCACTGTCAGAATAATATTTGAATTGAATAAAATGTGTTGATATGAACTGAACATTATCAAAATTGTGAATGACTGAAATGAACATTGTGTGCATGATATCAAATGATTTGATTATGAATTTAGATTCAGTTTATATGGATGTTCGAAGCATTAGATATGCTTACTCAGCTTTACCGCTGAGCGTGTAGTGTGTTTCATTTGCTACACGCAGGTAAACAGAAATAACAGTGCGATCCTGGCGGCAGATGGGGCGAGATTGTCGGGATGGATGTGACAAGTTTTGAAATAATTTATGATATGTTAATATTAAAATCGCTTCCGCAATATTGTTGAATACTCCGTACTGTATATGTTATGAAAAATATTATTGGAATTAATAAAGTGTGTTTGAAAATTTTAAATTTTTACGATTACCAAGTTAAATACTTTAGTCCGAATGGGGCTGCAGACCTGGACGGATTAGGGTGTTACAGTTTGGTATCAGAGCAAGTGGTTTTAAAACCGATCTTCGGATAAAAAATTTGAATTTAAAAAAAATGTGTCAGTCACATCCACGACTCTCGCATCCCTCTACTCCAGGAAAGGTATGAAAAATTACTTAGAAAATATTGACTCTATTAGAATTCTCACTAGAGAACAATTGTTAGTACTGAAATTGTATCGAGCGTAGACTCTAGTTGAACTTTCGTACTCGGTGAAGAGACGAAAGAATAAATAATAAAAAAATATAACCCTCTGATATGTTATCAACGTACGCATTGCATCATGATTGAAGAAGCTGATCTATCTCGCAAAGTCGCATAGAAGTGAGACGACTATGAAGAAACGATTAATGTTGAATAACATCTATGAAGTTGCTGTCAAAGATCCTCATGTTGACTGAAGACGATCGGATTGCTGATTCACGTTTAAAATCAATAAACTCTATTCTTTGAAAATATCTCATTCTGATTACAACGCAAATATGCGATTATATCATACGAATCGAAATCGTTCGTTCAACTACAATTCCTTGCAAAACTTTATCATACAAGGAAATTGACATTATCCTTATTTCGTACTTATGACTTATTTGATCAGCTTAGAAAATCCATTGTGATCTCTAAGATTGACTTACGGTCAAAGATACTATCACATCTCTGTTAAGACAGACAAACTGACGATCAAGAATCGCTACCCTTTACTATGTATTGACAATTTGTTCGGTCAAATTCAAAGGAACCTACTTGCTAGAAGCTATGGATAGTTCAATCTTGTTGAATGAAGTGACACATTGTTATGACACGATTAGTGACTTAAACATCGATATAGTCTGAATAAATACCCGTTGTCAACTCGTCAAGAATCCTAACGAAGGAATTTCTGTTATTGTAGAATGAGTCATGAAACCGCTCACGATCAAAGTAACCAAGTCCCAAGCGATGGGCACGAAAATGTTCATACTGAAGTATCTAGTTTCACACCTCCTATTCAAAGTGAACAAGTGAACTCACTACATGTTCCCCAAAATGATCAAAATATTGGAAGTCAACCTGACGCTATGCTACCTACCTTAATGGTAAACTTCTTGCAACAAATGACCAATGCCCCTGTGTTTCAAACCCCTCCACCACCACCTCGTTTGATCACTTTCAAAACCTTGAAAGACAATGGTGCTGAAGAGTTTCTGGGAGATCGAATTGCCGAACCCCAAATTGCTCTTGAATGGATCGAGCAGACCGCTCGTGTACTACAAAATCTGAACATACCTCTTGTTGACCATCCAAAATTTGCATCTCAATTGCTCTGCAAGGAAGCCTACGAATGGTGGAAAAACACTAACGAAAATCCAAACACACCCAAACCTTGGACTTGGGAATTCTTCGATTGGGCGTTCAAGAAGGAATATATCCCAGCTCGATTCCGTGAAGAGAAGCATGCTGAATTTATTGAATTAAAGAAAGGAGATATGACACTCCCTGAATACCGACAAAGATTTGTCCACCTCGCTCAATTTGCACCCACACTGGTGGGCACAGTAGCTGACCGCATTGAAGAGTTTCGCAAAAGACTTTGACCTGATCTCAGGCCGCACGTATCTACTATTCAAACTATGGATTTCATTGAGGCGTACGATCTAATCTCCAAAGCCGAAAAAGATCTAAGTGATTACTATGAAAGTGTGAAGAATAAGAATGTCAATCTAAATGAACGACCAAATTCAAGTGGGAAGAGACCCCTGCAAGAAATCGATTGTGCCATACACTCGAAAAAGGGAAAATCAATGACAATTCAATCGATGTCATCCATGAACAAAATGAGGGTATGCAAACATCCAAAGTGTAATGTTTGTAAAAGACACCATCCAGGATATTCCTGGCTTGCACAAGGATTATGTCTAATTTGTGGTGAACCTGGACATTTCCGACGAGAATGTCCCTCTAACCCTGAATCATATTCAGTTACTTCTGTCCAAAATCAACCTGTTCGCTCAGGAACAAGTCAACATTCTAAAACACGAAACAATTCAAAGAATCCAACCCAAGGATGATACTTTGTGAAGATTCTAAAGTGCTACAAGTGTTGTATTTAGGTGCCCTAGCGGCAATCAAATACCTATGTAACTGTACACTTTATCATGAATGAAAGGCCTTGAAGTATGTTTTCTATCTCGTGTAACATAACATAGCTTCAGTCCATAGACAATAGCGCTTTAGTAACATAGATGAGAACTACGATGTTCTGATTATGAGACTGTTACTTCTTGACGAAGGCTATGTCTAGAATATCCCTAGTCGCACTTTATGATAATACGGACGTCATAACGTATCAAGACTAGTACGTACAAGATGAGATAGTTGCGTCTCATAGACTATAGGTATTGTGATATCTTAATCTGTACGTAGGTGCATATTATATCGATAATATGTGACTGGATTGACCCCTTCCGGAGCTTCTTAAAATGCTCTAGACTGCAGATGAGAACCTTACTAAGGGCAAGGGTACTTCTGTCCTTATGGTCTAAGGCGGAAAGGGGAAGCCGAAGAAAGGGATTAAGATTAAGGCTAGGACGGGCGGAAAGCCTAAATCGAAGTCCACTTTATCTGCAACCTAGAAACCCGTAGGAGGAGTTGCAAAGGGCAAATGTCATCACTGTGGTAAGGCAGGCCACTGGAGGAGAAACTGCAAGACATACCTCGCAACCAAGAAGAAGGAAGGTACGACCATTTCTTCTGAGGTGTATGTTATAGAAGTTAACATGTCTATATCTTCATCATGGGTACTAGATACTGGATGTGGGTCTCATATCTGTACTACCATGCAGGGACTGAAGCACAGTAGACGGTTAGCTCGAGGCGAGATTG